GATTTATGACTGAATGTGAAGAAATGGAATAATAGCGAAACAGGATGTCCTTTATTTTTTATTTCCTTCTTCATATTCGATAAACATTAATATTAACATATCATTTACACGTGACGAAACAATAAAAGTTACCGGTATTATACGTAAGTACTCTAATTAAAAATGAAAGCACGATGGGAACCATGTTTTATCATATTTAAAACATCGATCTTTTTGTCGATGTTTTCATCGGCATCGAAAACATTTGTGTGATGTATCGATGGTTTGATAAAAATTGCCATCACTACTCCCGCCTATCCTCACCCCTGCGCGCGCGCAGCGTTAGGCCTCATTCACGAAGCAAACTTAACAGTAACGTTATGCTGTAAACGTAGCAGTAAAAATTACGTGTAAAAACGAGCATTCAAAGAACGTAGGTTTCGCTTGAACCAATCAGAATTCAACGTATTGAAGCTTGATCGATTAGTTACTAAACATGTGTGACCTGTTGCGCGGCCTATCCGGCTTCAGCCAATGAGCTTCATGCAAGTGTTTGTATCACAATATTAGCGGGAATTTTAAATGCTGCCAGGTACAAAAACCTCTAGTAACAAATTACTGAAAGAGATAAATGAAGCATTTCTTTTTAAATATTGCTCCTTTATTTCACCTACACTTTCATCGTGATATCTGTGATTGGTCACCATTAAACATTGTCACTTTATGCCAGTTTCAAAATGTTTGTCAACACTTCTCGTTCTCCATGCAACCGTATGGTCACCGTATAGCCTGGTTTTTCATACAATGTGCACGTATAGTGGTCACTTGGTTGGTAAAGTATCTGATATTTCCTAGAAAGAGTAAAAATCGGTGCGCTGGACTAGCTCACCCATGTCTTTTCATCATGATTGAACCAATCAGAATTCAACGTGTCGAAGCTTGATCGATTCATTTCTAGTTTTAATTCGATTTTCCTTTTCATTTAAGCCTTTCGTATATGCATTGTAGTATTTAATGCTCGATTTTCTTTTATAAAGTAAACAAGGGTTCTCTTGTACCTCATTCACAAGTAATTCGTCGAACATAATTACTTTATTCGCCATGTCAAGTTAGAGTCACAAGCAAAATGATCCAAATTCTTATTTCAAGTTCACAACTCGCGCCAAGACAGTTCGCAAGCTAGTTAACTACATAACCATGATGAAATGATATAACCATACATAACATATGAACCACAAACAATTACTTGAACACAATCTGAAATCAAAGAAACGGAATTTGAAATCGACCTTCAATTTTCTTTCAAAAACGTGTACATAAAAGCTTGGTGCTCGTGAACTAATAATTGCACGGGTTAACGCCTACGGTCAGGTTGCAAGGCGATGTGATCCACTTAATATCTCAACCCCAGATTTTACAGAAACGATACATTTACGTTCAAGTTTGCATTGCGAATTAGATCGTAATAGGGCATTATTTTCAAGTCATTCTGTGTCCCACATGCACAGTGCCGCAACCATGATTTTTTTGTACAGTCTACATGTATAATGTTCACCCGACTTGATGTTTTCTCATAACGGATTTTTCATTTCTGCTGAATTTAAAATGTATTTCTATTTATTGATTTTTAGTTATTTATAAATAATTGTATTGATTTATTAAGTTATTTCTAACGTATCAGTTGTTGAGCTTTCATTACTATACACGGTTAGTAAAAACTATTTTTGTGGATATGTGTCATCGACTTCTGGGGTAGGAGGTAGAAAGAGCCCCAAGAGCTGTCTCTTCCGTTGTGGTCGCGCCACGGTTC